ACTTATACATAAAATGCATATCAATATCTGCTTGTAAGATGATATTTAAATGCTTACTTTTATGTTCAAAGCTGTAAAGCCTTTGTTGAGGCTTATTTGTTGTTGAGTATCATATTTATATTTGTATCAGGCTTTTATGGTGCAAAAATGGAATGCAAAACATACTGCAAAAATTAGCATTTTCAAGAAGATGCTCATATATGAATATAAATATATAAATATAAATGAAATTCTGATGCTTGTAATGTAAAGCAATGAGATCTTTATAACATTATCGCAGAAACTTAAAATGCATATACATGTCAATATCTGTAAATAATATTAATAGTTCTTAGCAATATGATATTTAGTGATGAAAATATAATGCAATGCAATACAATGATTATTGAGATAATAAACCTTCCTCAAAAGCCTGATGATCATACTAATATTGCATGATCATAATCATGTAAATCTCAGTCGTTCAGTCAAGTTGAAATATATCTAACAATATCAAAGTTATTCTTGCGTTTTCTTGATAAATCAGAGCAGATTTGCCACAGAAAAGGAGAGCGATTGTGCAATTACACCGACAGATAAAAGAGTCTAAACTCTCCATCAGAGAGTGTGTTCGACGGGTTTGTCAGATCATTTTTATCTTTAAAAAGTCTTAAAAATTCATGTATAAATATAGAGTTACTGTAAAATACATATTCGGCACATAAATGTGTGTCTGTGTCTTTAAGAATCTGCTGGTCATCAGGATCTTCTGCGAGTAAATGCAGCAGAAACGATGAACATCTGGTTTTGAACTCCTCATACGGCGAGATGACCAGGTCTGAGAACTGCACGCGTGTGTGTGTGTGTTCACGGCGTCCGGCACGCGTGTGTATCAAGAGGGGTGTCCAGAAGTGCTGGAGCTTCATAAATCAGACTGTGGTGGTCAGCAGATGCACATGCAACTCAGCAAGATCTGTGCTGATATATACATGAACACTCGCATACGGATAAACCTGTCGACTCAAGACTTCGGGGTCAGGGGTCAGGGGAAGACCGGATGTGTGGAACTGCCTCGTTTTCCAGGATGAATGTGTTGAAACTGATCCGTGTTATACGAGGACACTTTGGGGAATACTTGCCTCTTTAATTGTTATTGATTCACACACAACAAACATGTCAGCCGTGACTACAAACAAGAGAGCGGGGCAAGTCGTCCCACGGGGCGTATGAGGTTTCGGGTCAAACGTCCAGTCGCATAAACTACAGTTCAATAGGAAAACCTGCGGGGAATTCTGTCTTCCAGACAAACATATCAATGAAGAGTGAAGACAGTGAAAGCATACATTCAGAGTCGAAAATACGAAGATAAATTGATGATAAACTTTCCTTCCAAGACAATGTGGATTTTATACATGAGAAAACTAGACGGCGTTTAAGTCTACTTAGGAAGTTAAGAAATTTTGACATTGAAAGGAGGATCTTAACCCTTATGCTGCATTAGGGACATTTTTGGTCTTTTGCAGTTTAATTTCTTTGACCATTTTGGCTGTTTTAATGCAAATGGTATGAAATTTGGCAAAATTGTGACTTTTTGGATACATGTAAAAAATGTGATCCCATTTTGCAAAATATGTATAACACACACACTGTGTAGATCAAATAGTAACACTCAGCACCATAAAGACCAAAAATGGCCCATTGAAACCCATTAAAACGTTGTTTAAATCTGAGGCTGTCAGTAATACATGAAACATGATTTTTGCACAAACATCCTTTCATTTTGAAGCAAAAGCATTATATTTGCATTATATAGTGTATTCCACCAGATGACGTCACTACATATTTATTCCCTATGGGTGGAAATGCACCTTATTTTAGGCAATAGGCAATGTTTAATAGGTGGCCATTTTTGGTCTCTAACGCGCTAAGTGGGATTTTTTGCAAAGTGGGACTGTGATAATCCAAATCTAAAGTTTTCTCTTTGCATTTAGTTTATTGAAAATAATTGAATTTTTGTGTTTTTTCCTCTTATACAAATCGATGGTTTCGCAAACAAAACTGGTAATTAAAGGGTTAAAATCCTGAAATTGAATACATTTTTGGTAGTTATGATGAGGACTGATGCTGGTTAAAAGATTTAACTTGGTAAAAGTGGAAAATAATAATAATATATAATATTTTAGGCAATGTTTAATATGTGGCCATTTTTGGTCCTTAATGCACTCAACGGTGTTAAAAATCTAATGCAGCACAAGGGTTAACCATTGTTTATAGATCAATGATTAAAAGTGTTTTAACTTATAATATTGTTTCATGGTATGGTAATCTTACAGTGAAACAAGAATAAACTAACACGAGTAATCAACGAAGCAAATAAGATCATCGGCCAAAAAGAGAGCACATTACAAGAGCTATTCACAATTTTTTTTTTGGAGAAAGGGGCATTATCAATATATTCAGACCAGACTCATCCCCTTCCTGCTTCGAGATCCTTCCTTCGGGACGCCGCTTGCCAAGAGGAATATTTATAAGAGATCATTTGTTCCACTGGCGGTGACTGTTTTAAACTCAATTCTCAATTGAGGTGATTTTTATAGGTGTGTGAATTTGCACATACTGTATTAATTTAACTTATGTAGGCCTATGTATTAATTATTTATTTCTTATGTGTTTGTTTGTAAAGTGGTTGTTGTGCCAGTGTCAAAGATGAATCTGTCCAGTATCTGAACAGACAATAAAGTTAATCAAATCAAATTAAATTCACATTAATGTTGTTATTATATGCCTATATATAGGCCTAGATGTCAGGCGGATATGATGGATTTTTGATTTATGGTAATTGAGAATGAACGTGCACGCGCATCCCATATCTGCCCGCCCCGTGAGTTCGGACAACAGTGATTTTAGTTTATGTACCTGCTTGGGCCAAATTTTGCATTTGCAGCCGAGGGCATTGCTGCCAGCTACAACATGGCACTACGTAACTCATCGGAAGGTCCTGTGTTTCTTTTGGGGACTTTAACAAATGTGAACTATCTGCGTTTTTGGCGAATTTGGAGCTACATAACTTGTCCGACGAGACGGAGCAAAACCCTGGACAAATGTTTCGGTAATGTGGCTGGTGATGCTTTGCACCCACCATTAGGTCGTTCAGATCACAATGTCATCCACCTCCTTCCTAAATACAGACAGATGCTAAAAAGGACTGATCCTCTCATTGGACTAAAGATTCATTTGAAAAACTCAGAGATTCTCTAAAAAAAACTCTAGATCTATTTTTTATTGATTGAAATGATTGCAATGACGTCCACGAGTCCCTGAATGATACTTTTAGCATACTTTTGTCTGTTGTGGTGTGTGTGGTAGGCCTATAAGGAAAACAAAAATCAAACAAAATTAGTCATTATTTAAATAAACTAAACTTACAGAAGATCGCTGGCTGTTCATTTACACTAAAACTTTGAAAAACTTTCATTTACACGAAAACTTTTTTTTTTATTGAATATGCATCAAATAACAAGCACGTACAAAGCACAAAACACATAGAACTCTCACTCTGACATGTTATATCAATATATAAAGTTTCACATATATAAAGAAAAAAAGAAAATAAATAAAATAAAAGACATACATAGAGGAAACCTTAAGCATCAGTGGTATTGAAAATATCATCATAATATTTCAAGAATCTGTCACTTTTCTTGTTTTTAATCAATCTTAGAGACTTCAGAAATGTATCAATTTCGATTAAGAAATGTGGAAATATATTGTGAATAAAATTTTTCCCAAACAAAATAAAAAAATTAACAATGTAACTAATTGAAGTACTTGAAAGCGATACCGCTCTCGTGTAAACAATAAAAACAGTGACGTCACGCGTGTCACGTGTTCAGTCGAATAGCGGTGAAGAGTGTGCCATCGTGAATGATAGGCTATACACACACTTTTTGTGTTTTTACTTTAAACAGTATTTCATTCTTTAAAAACATTCAGTGTCCGAAAGCAGCAGTTTCATGGTGTGACAACATGCCCCCTCTGTTAAATGAATATTAAAATAGATTTAAATAAACCATGAGAAATCCGCAGCCTAATCGAACCAAAATGTGATGCTTTAATGCAGATGTTCATTATTATCATAATGATTTAAAAACCATAAACAATACAGAAAGGAATTATTTTTCCCAGAGCAGTGGACCTATTTCAAGGAATAAATAAAGAATAGGCTATATAATAAATACATTTTAAAAGTCATCTATATGTTTTCCTGTATAAAGACCAAATGATAAATTGTATATTTATATATCTAAAATAGCATTTTGGAAAATATTACTGTTTTTTTTTTTTTTTTACTACATATTTAAAATATTAAATTTACATGTTACATTTTAAATATTGCAGACTATTACGACTTAAATGAATGTGTTATTCCAGCAAAATATTTATTTTAATCTACATAGTTTATTTATACCAATCAAATTTAGTTGTTTATTTTTTATTTTATTTTTTTATATAGGCTTTTCTCTTTATTCGTGTATACCGGGCCCTCTATAGCACTCCCTTGCGGACCCCAACTGAAAACCCCTGCTTTAAAGTTTCCTTACACACACACACACACACACACACACACACACTGACTCCTCACTCTCTCCCCCTCTCTCTCTCACTCACACACACACAGAGGCAGCATTTCCGTGTGTGACTTTTGGGAATAGGTCATCCTATTATCCAGCTCTGATGATGATGTGCACGCGCATCTCTCATTGAAACTACGCAACTGGATTTAGGAAAAAATAGAGACACTGTTAGGCTATAAATAGTAGAATATTCGAAAATGTTATATTTCATGTACAAATTGTACTATTCATTTTTATTATTTTATTATAATGAATTAATTTGTATTGTAGGCTATAGTGTAATGCTTTAGCAATGCGAAGAAAGATTTATTTCACGATGTCAACAAAGCCATTTGAATCTAGAGAGAGAGAGAGAGAGAGAGAGAGAGAGAGAGAGAGAGAGAGAGGGCGCGCGCGTCCGTGCGTGCGTTGCTGTGACGTCACGCTCCTCCGGCGGCGCTCCTAAACTCAGTAACGGCGAACGGACTCGGTTAAACTAGTGCAAACACGCGGACGGGGGTGTAACGGCTCAGACGAACGGGAATACTCTCGGTGTGTCGCGGAGGAGCACGAGAGGAGCGCGCGGAGGCGTTTGCGAGGCTCGCGCGATGGACCGGAGACTTTTAACGGGGTTTCTCTTTTTCGCCGCTATTCTTTTGATCTCCTCCGGAACAGTTCCAGAATCCCAAGGTAAGACCATCGGTATATATTTCCAGAGAGATTCAGAAAGTTCGTCATCCGTGAATTATCGGCGGAAGTTTGCCTGAGATTCTCCTCGCGCGCTCAATCTAGCGGATCGAGTCAAGTTTATAAAGTTACCGGAGTGACTCCGCGAACGCGCCTCTGCTGTGCGATGTCGGACTGAGACCAAACTTTCCAAACGCACGAATGTCTGTTAATATAAATGAGCTCGTTTCCTCTCGAGACTCTCTCTGATGAACACCCGATGATGAAGATTGGGAAAATCCGTCTTTGTGTTGCGCTTTGGTGTTCCGCACAAACTGACGCAAAGTACCGTGTGTGAGTCGATGACATGGATATGATTATGTGTTCGTGGTGCGGATAAACACGAATGGTGATTCTTTAGTCCCGTATATTCATCGCATAAAGCTCTCTAAAATATGTTCTGTTCTCAGAAGTGAGCCGTTAGATTCCGAGTGTGTGTGTGTGTGTGTGCCAGCGGTGTTTAACCAGATAACACACACACACAGACAGAGACGTGCCTTTCAGCTTTTTAATCTTAATGCAAAACAGTCAAATATTTGATGCCGAACAGTAGCTCGTTCCTTCTCGGCTGTTACATTGTTTCAGTGTGTGTGTGTGTGTGTTGGACTCTAATGTTGGTCTTCATGTGTGTTTCTGAACACACATCTGTGTGTTTAATAAACAGCGAAATGTTTTCAATGCACACTTTTACACACCTCACTTGTGCATTTTATTAAGGCACTTTAATTAGTTTTCATGCACGACTTTAGTGTCGCTTTAGGAGGATTGGCCGAAACTCGGTGCAGTGTGTGTGTGTGTGTGTGTGTGTGATGAGGCAGCGGGTAATAAATCTGACTGAATTAAACTTTATGTTTATGGATATTGAAGTAATGTCGATGTTTAACCTGAAGTGGCTTTGATCTCAGTCAGATGAATGATTTCTGCAGATGTTCCTGTGTGTGTGTGTGTGTGTGTGTGTGTGTGTCCTGAAGGGGGCAGCAGTGATCACACATGATGACAGATTAACTCCAGATTCCCACTATCACACAAATCCCACAAAAATCCGATAAACGAGACGCTCAGATGTTTGTTTGACACACAATAATTAGTCCTGCTGGGAATTTTATTTATGAAAAGTCAGAGATATTATAAATCATTTAATTAGCCGTGACGAAACTGTTTTCATAAAGGTATCGGATCCCCAAATCCAGTAGAAGTGAACGGGGCCTTTCCGTCGTGGATGGAGAGAGAAGGTGTCGGTGTTTATTAACTTAAGATGTTTTGATGATTATGTTTTGATTATTGTGACTGACGCAGAGGATATCCTGAGCCTCTTCCGTGGATTCAGACTCGCAGTGTGTGTGTGTGTGTGTGTGTGTGTTTGATTCTCATTGTTCTGTTTAACAAGCCCACATTCACCCCGTCGGGATCTATATTAACGGCTCTAACATGTTATTTTTAGCAAATGCTTTCATAAATGTCTACTAAAATAATTTGAAAATAAAAACAGATATTTAAAGTAGGCTAAGACTTGATGGTTATTAGTTTTTTATTGCTTCCTTTAGTTGTTTTAATTAGTCTAAATCATATTCATTGGTTTTTCAAGACTCGTGGGGTTTGAAAGTAGATTTACGTTTTAATTGAACGAGGCCAGAATGAACACGAAACAGACATGCATGTTTGAGAAGTCACGTGGGATCGTTGCCAAGTGGTTCACTGCTCATTGTGTGTGTGTGTGTGTGTGTGTGTGTGTGTGTGTGTGTGAGAGAGACAAACACTTCATCTCCAGGAATTCTCCATAGTTTACCAGCGTCTGCCAAATGTGTGCTGTTCTGCTGAATTCCAGTGCGGCCTCTCTCTCTCTGTGTGTGTGTGTGTGTGTGTGTGTGTGTTTCTGAGTTCTGCAACCATTCTGATGAACAATTCACACACTCACTCACTCACTCACTCACTGAACACACACACATACACACACTCACTCACTCACTCACTGAACACACACACATACACACACTCACTCATTCACTCACTGAACACACACACATACACACACACACACACACACTGACTCATTCACTTACTGAACACACACATACACACTCACTCATTCTCTCACCCACTGAACAGACACACACACACACACACACACACACACACACATACTCACACATTCACTCACTGAACACACACACACACACACACTCACTCATTCTCTCACTCACTGAACAGAACACACACACACACACACACACACATACTCACTCATTCACTCACTGAACACACACACACACACTCACTCATTCACTCACTGAACACACACACACATACACTCTCAGTCACTGAACACACACACACAACACACACTGACTCATTCACTTACTGAACACACACATACACACTCACTCATTCTCTCACCCACTGAACAGAACACACACACACACACACACACACATACTCACACATTCACTCACTGAACACACACACACACACACACTCACTCATTCTCTCACCCACTGAACAGAAACACACACACACACACACATACTCACTCATTCACTCACTGAACACACACATATACTCTCAGTCACTGAACACACACACATACACACTCATTCACTGAACACACACACACTCACTCACTCACTCACTGAACACACACACACACACACACACACACACACACTCACTCACTCACTCACTCACTCACTGAACAGAACACACACACACACTCACTCACTGAACACACACACACTCACTCACTCACTCACTCACTCACTCACTCACTCACTGAACACACACACACACACACACACATACACACACACTCACTGAACACACACACACACACACTCCCTTACTCTCTCTCTCTGTGTGTGTGTGTGTAGGGCTGTTGGTTAGCGGTGTGTAAGTTGCTGAGTAAACAGCGCTGTGTAATGAAAGCTCGTTCTCAGATGGGCAACAAACGAGCATAAAAGCAAATGAATCAGCCGCTTCCTCCAACAGGGACGCACGAGGTGGACAGGTGTGTGTGTGTGTGTGTGTGTGTGTGTGTGGACAGGTGTTCTGCCAGCGGCTCGAACCTCATGCTTGGGTTCGCTGGCTGATGATGATGCCCTGATAATGTGTTCAGTTCAGCGAAGCCTTGTTATAAGCGACTGAAACTCGTTAATTAATCCACGGCGGGACGAAGCTGCCGATTTCAAAGCCTTGTTTGATCCTCTCGGGTGCGGACTTCAGCGAGTGTGTGTGACCACAGGCGAATGTCTCCAACACTGCGAGTGTGTGTGTGTGTGTGTGTTTGACCACAGGCGAATGTCTCCATTACTGTCCACCTGCGTGTGCTGAGTTTTAATGGCCCTCGTTAGACTCATTAACACGGCAGGCCTGATGTTCCTCTTCATGTTCCTGACCTGATTATGATCGCGCGGTGTGTGTGTGTGTGTTCAGGAGTGGAGGCGGCCACAGGAATCCCCCTCTCCACATTACACTGATGTGAACACGAGTTGAGGGAAGCGGCCGCCGTGTGTTCGTCTCGCGCGTTCACTGACGCGCTAATTGCTGCCAAGCATCGATGCCCGGCGCTAATCCCACAGATTTATTTACGGCGACGCTAAATAGAGGAGGCGTAAATATTTGAGCTGCACGCGAGAACCGTGTCGGGCCAAATTGTTTTTTTAATGACACTCTAATTATTTCTCACACGTCGTTTCTGGTGTTTATTGCATGTGTGTATCTTTCTCATCGAGCGGGTCATGTTTACTCTTCTGATGAGTGAGCGAGAGAGTGAGTGAGTGTGCGAGAGAGTGAGTGTGCGAGAGAGTGAGTGTGAGAGAGAGTGAGAGAGTGAGTGTGTGAGAAGCTTTCTGAATTGAATTGAATTGAGTGCGAGAGAGTGAGTGTGTGAGTGACAGTGTGTAGAGAAAGTGAGTGTGAAGCGAGTGAGTGTGTGAGAGAGTGCGAGAGAGTGAGTGTGCGAGAGAATGAGTGTGCGAGAGAGTGTGTGTGTGAGTGTGTGTGTGAGTGTGTGAGAGAGTGTGTGAGTGACAGGTGTAGAGAAGTGAGTGTGCAAGCGAGTGAGTGTGTGAGAGAGTGCGAGAGAGTGAGTGTGCGAGAGAATGAGTGTGCGAGAGAGTGAGTGTGTGAGAGTGCGAGAGAGTGAGTGTGTGAGAGAGTGAGTGTGCGAGAAAATGAGTGAGTGTGTGAGTGACAGTGTGTAAGAGAAGTGAGTGTGCAAGCCAGTGAGTGTGTGAGAGTGCGAGAGAGTGAGTGTGCGAGAGAGTGAGTGTGAGAGAGTGAGTGAGTGAGTGAGTGTGCGAGAGAGTGAGTGTGTGTGTGACAGTGTGTAGAGAAAGTGAGTGTGCAAGCGAGTGAGTGTGTGAGAGAGTGCGAGAGAGTGAGTGTGCGAGAGAAGTGAGTGTGCGAGAGAGTGTGTGTGTGAGTGTGTGTGTGAGTGTGTGAGAGAGTGTGTGAGTGAGAGTGTGTAAGAGAGAGTGAGTGTGCAAGCGAGTGAGTGAGAGAGTTGCGAGAGAGTGAGTGTGCGAGAGAGTGAGTGTGGTGGAGAGTGCGAGAGAGTGAGTGTGCGAGAGTGTGAGTGTGTGTTGTGAGAGAGTGATAGTGTGCGAGGAAAATGAGTGAGTGTGTGAGTGACAGTGTGTAAGAGAAAGTGAGTGTGCAGCCAGTGAGGTGAGTGAGAGTGCGAAGTGAGCCAGAGAGGTGTGAGAGAGTGAGTGAGTGAGTGAGTGTGCGAGAGAGTGAGTGTGTGTGGAGAGAGTGCGGAGAGTGAGTGTGTGGAGAGAGTGAGTGTGCGAGAGAGTGGAGTGAGTGAGAGAGTGAGTGAGTGTGTGAGAGAGTGCGAGAGAGTGAGTGAGGTGGAGTGAGAGTGAGTGTGCGAAGAGAGTGAGTGAGTGAGTGAGAGAGTGAGTCGAGAGAGTGAGTGAGGTGTGAGAGTAGTGTGTGAGTGAGTGTGTGAGAGAGTGAGTGAGTGA